TTTTTTTGGTTTTTCGAGACAGGGTTTCTCTGTGGCTTTGGAGCCTGTCCTGGAACTAGCTCTTGTAGACCAGGCTGATCTCGAACTCACAGAGATCCACCTGCCTTTGCCTCCTGAGTGCTGGGATTAAAGGCGTGCGCCACCACCGCCCGGCTCTCCAAAAACTTCTTATATCCTTTCTTGGGAGGCTATCATTAAAAAGCAACCATTCATTCAAGGACAGAAGGTTCTAGAAATAAGGTCCCTTGCTAGGAAAAAATACATAGAATAAAATAAATAGGTTCAAGCTTTTAAGGGGAAAACTGTTATAATAGAATAAATCACAATAATAAAACAAATACAGGAAGACACATGGAAAACCTTGTTACTTTGGAGACCTGGAAACATGAATTAATCCTTAATTCTAGGAAAAATAAAAAGTTACCCACAAAAGGAAATTTAATTGCAGTTTGTTCCATGGCTTGTTAACCATATTTACACTGTCATAATAAGTAAACACAGACTATTGGATGGCGTGCACAGACAAAAGACTGGTGTACTGGGAGGTTACACTGGATGTTGAGAAATCTCCGTCTCGGCCACACCATCCCTTCACTCCACTCTAAAACCATCTCCCAAATCTTAACTCTTCTGAACAAGTGACATTAGATTAGGGGTTTCCACCCCTGGCTGAAGCAGAAAACAGTCACATGGTGCTGGCTCAGCACGTCATGGTAAGCATGTCAGGTCTAGTCGATTGACAAGTGATTAGAGGTACGGCCACCTGAGCTTTCCCAGTCCTGAGACAGAGCACGAGGCCCATGCTCACATCTGCCTTTCTTTGCTTATGGCCCTGGTACAACACTGGAAGATAAATGTCAAGGACGAGGGGATCCACCTACGGCCAAGCAACCAAGCACTGAAAACTCAACCCATAGTGACCAGGACGGTCACCTCAGCATAATAATATGCTCAGAACCACCACGTATGAGTCAAACCAGGGACAGCAAAGCCGTCTTCCTTCCTAGGGAAGAACAACGAAAGCTCGCAGGCCTTGCCGGAAGATCTTGCCATACTCCGTGGCTGGAGGGCTAAGGAAAGGGTTCAGCAGACGAGACCACCACTGGATAAGTAAGACTCAGGATGACAAGCAAAAAGCCACACCAGAGGCCCCTGCCCTTCAGCTGGTCTGCCATGGGGATCCCACCCACTGTCTGTCCCCAGCATGATGTCTGGTACTGAATAAACTGGGAATGAGTAAACAAGAAGCTCCCAGTTCTGACAGCTAGGGAACTAAGTTGAATCTAGCCTCCCCTGTAAATGGTCTGCCCACCACCACTACCTCAGCCAGGCTCAACAGTATGAAGCAGAGTTCACCCCCTTCCCTGACAATGTGGACTGTTATTAACCTTACATCCCTCCTTAGCTTCCTCCTCTTCTCCGTATCTAACTGCAGAGATAACAGGAGTACCTTCCCTATCCTCCATCAACTAACATTTACCTACCACTGTGTTAAATGCTTTGAGTATACTATTTCATTTGATCTTTTCAACAGTCTATGGCACCGACAGAAAATGAGTCTCCCATTTTACGGAAGAAACCAAAGCTCGCAGAGCCTAACTGATCTGGGACTTGAAAGGGCAGTAGAAGATGGGTTTTGGTGGACTCCCCTCTACCCTAGTCTGCTGGAGCTCTGGGGTCATTCATTAACCCCTCTCTTGGGAAAGGGTAGCTCAACGCCTTGGGGACACCTTCCTAAACACACCTGATGTCCAAAGCACCTGAGATGAGAATCGCCTTTTTAATCTTTCTTTTTTTAATTCCTTTTTTCAAGACAGGGTCTTACTATAAATACAGACTAAGCTGGCCTGGAACACATAGAGATCTGCCTTGGCCTCCAGTGAGC